GCGGCCGGTGTGGGGGAGGGCACCCGAACCCCAGATCGTCAGCCACACACCTTTTCGCCACTGGACCTGCTCTCATCCGTCCCTGGAGGGTGCCGCAGGCTCTCTTGGGATGATGAGTGCCCTCTCCTCTCCCGTGTCCCTTAACTGTCCATCACATCCTCACCACCACTGTCCTCATAACCGCTGGCCTGCAGGGGGAATCTGAAGACTGGGGCTCCTCTCCTGGCTCTGTGGCTCCCCAGGGACACCCCCAGGTGGCAGGAATCACGGTGGAGAGTGGGGATAGACCAGCGTTGGCAGGTCCAGTTTCAAACCCAAATCTGCCTCGGCCTTGCTGAGTGACACTGGCCTACTGTCACTTCCTTTGTTCCTTAGTTTCCAGGTCTGTAAGGAAGATGCAAGTTCCCACCTGATGGGGTTGCTGGGGGTAGGGACGCTGGCGGCTGCCAAGGTACCATGTGACACAGTTTAAAAAAGCCACACCCAAGAGTTCCACAAAGGCCAGCCGTTCCCTGTGACATCACTGTCACCATCACCACTGTCCCAGTGGCCACCGTGTGATTTTCAGCAAGTGACTTCTCGCCCCGGCGTCTCGATGTTCTCAGCTATGAATCGGGGGCAGTAACTGCACACACCTCCTAGAAGAACCGCATGCACCTTCCTCTCCTAGAGCCGTATGACCGTGACAAAGTCATTTCTCTTCTCTGGGCCTGTGTCTTCCTCGTACGTTGGGGATCTGTTAGTCACACCACCTTCACGGGCCGTTGAAAGACTTAAGTGAACTATTGCATGGAAGGGGCTTAGCGAGATGCCGGGCCACCTACAATGTTCAGTTTGTGGCTGTGATATTTACTGATTATGGCCTCGGTTTCCTCCTCTGTAGAAGGGGGCAATGGTCTCCGAGAGCCCTGTGGTGTTCGTGGGCTGCGGCCGTCACTCTCGCTTTCACCCATCACTCTCGCTTTCACTCGGGCACTGTGTTCCCGGAGTCCTGTCTTCCTGGTCTGGGTGGGCCACGGCCTGGAGGCTGCCTGTCTCCCCACCTTCACAGGTCCACTCACGTCAGGTTCTGCTCACTGCACCTGAGGCTGCACTGCCTGAAAGTGCTTTGCAAAGCCTCAGACACGATTCCATACCAAAAGCTGTTGCCATGTGCAGGCGTGTGGGTTATCTCCAGGCCCTTGGGAGCTGGTCTCACCATGCTCCAGGTGCAGAAGAGGAGACTTGAGGCTCAGAGGGTTAAAGGAGTTACGCAGGTGACTCAGCCCCGCATGGCAGAGCTGGACCGTGCATTCAGATAACAATAATAATGATGCTCACATTTATCAGAGGGTATGCTAAGCCCTTTCAGCTATTGCCTCATTAAACTATCCCTTGGAGTAAATATTATCACCCCCATTTCACAGATAGAAAAAACAAGGCTGAGAAGAATGGAATGATGTCCCTGGAGTCTTGAAGCGGGGAAATGACGGGGCTGGTCTTGAACCCGAGTCTGCCCAAGGCCAACCCGGGCAGGCCATTTTTTGGCTGCTCACTGCCCTTTGTGATCTTGCGGCATCAGAGGTCTCCAGCAGCCTCCCAGGCCTACCCCAAGAGCTGGGCCTCTCCAGACCACCAAAGAGGCCGTGGATCAGATTAACCACTGAAGAGGGGCTGCAGGAATATCTCAGGGATTCCTGCCTGGACCTTCTAGGGAGCTTACACAAGCCTTCATCAGAGGATTCTGAATCAGTAGAGTGGAAAACGCAAGGGGATCCCCACAGTTCCTGAGGGCCCCCAACCTGCCTTTATATGGGCGCAAGCACTGATACCAGTGCAGAAAAGCTGAAGCCGAGGCAGTGAGCACAGGTCTCGGGGAGCAAGGGGATGGCCTGGGCCCAGCCCTCCGGCGAGACTCCCGGCAGACGCGGGGATGAGCCACAAATCCTTCTGGGCACTGATTTATGTCGCATTCATGCGGAATTCATTATACAAAGCATTTTATTCAATTAAACTTGAAATGCGTCTGGATTCTTAAAGGTTCAGTAGCGATAACGGACAGGAGCGATCGTAAAACCGGATGGGCTGTCGTTGAGAGGGTGTGGGGAGGGGCCGAGGGTGACATTGCCGCTGAGGGGCTTCGGAAGCGGGGGGCATTTGTCATCGGGATGTTACAAGTTCGGGCTGTGAAAATTACTCGGTGAAAAAATGCACATTAACCATAGCCATGAAATATCAGTTAAGGGAAAGCAGGTTGAGAAATGAGACAGTGGGACATATTAGTGTCTGACATTGTCTCTGCGGCCCGCGTGTGATGAGAACGACTGTCAGGCGGCAGCGGGGCAGGGCGGAGCACTGGGCCAGGAGTCACGAGGGCACGCCCTGGCGCTGACTCTGGAGACAAGCTGTACCCCTGAGCCTCAGTTTCCCCATCTGCAAAGCCAGAGAGCATAGCAAGCCTCACTCAAGGTCGCCCGGAAGGTGTCTGAGCCCCTGGTGCCAACTGGCACTCCCTCCTCTCTCCATGGAATTGTCACCCGCCCACTCATCTCCAGCAAGGTTACTAATGCTGCTGCAAGAGCCAGGCCTGGATGAGGGGGAGGCAGCATCTAGGGCGTCCAATGTGTGGGAGTGCCCACCCCTTCTAGTATTCGAGAGGATGAACCCTTTCAAGCAATATTTTTTAAATTCAAAATTTTGCAAAAATATGTTTTTGCTGTCTCCACAGAATAGTCTAGTGCCCATAGGTATCCCAAGGAAAACAGATCAGCCACCCTCGGCGTCCCAGCCCTGTGTCCCTGGGCGGGGGACACCCTCATGCAGGCGGTTGGGCAGTGTGCACGCAGACTGGACAGTGCTGAGCTTTAGAGTCGTGCTTTGGTTGTGCTTTGATCAGCACTTCCTGCTGGCCTCCACACACAGGCTGCTTGAGGGTGTACAGAGGTGGACCCCCTGGTGGTGCAAGAGGTTAAGTCTCAGCACTAGGAAGCTATCAGCAGCCACTGCAGTACGAGTTCGATCCCTGCCCCGGAGGTGACCCACAAGGCACAGCAGACCTCTCCTGACCCATCCGCTGCTCCCCTCAGCATGTGTGTTTCAGTAGACCTGTCTGTTCTGCTCCCTAATGTCTCTAGGGAATCCTTTCCCCCCATACTTCCCTGCCTCTCTGGCCTATACCCCAACTCTTGTATGCACATTAAAAGAGCAAAAGAGGACCCTCCCTGGTGGTGTGATGGGTTAGCACACAGCATTGCAAGCTGGCCACAGCCGCTTCAGTGTGAGTTTGATCCCTGGCCCCGGAGTTGACCACATGGCACGGCAGACCTCTCCTGACCCTCCCGCTGCTCCCCTCAGCAGTGCATATCGTCGATCTGCCTGTTCTACTCCCCACTCTGTCTCTGGTGAATCCTCTTGCTGCCCCTGCCCCTCTGGCCTGTACCCCAGTTCTGTATGCATAAATAAATCTCTAAAAAAGAAAAAGAAGTAGTTTTCCTTCTCCTTAGGCTCCAGTAGGGCCACAGAAGAGCCAGGATTTTGAACCAGTCCCCTGAGCAGAACTCTTGTTTCCCCCAGGTTGGCGAACAGGGTGCCCGCTCCAGAAGTGCCACGTCATCCCCGGACCTGGGTGTGTTCTCAGGGAGTTTGCTGGTGAGGGGATGACACAGACAGGGCCTTGGAACCTGGGGGGCTAACATGCCCCCTGCAACAGCCCCTCTCAGCATGGACTATGGAACAGGATTTAGCAACAGGCCGACTGTGGGAGGCTGGATTTCCTCAGTGCTCCCCTCGTCTTTGTGCGGTTTGCCTGTGGTGGCCAGGAGTGTGGGTCATTATTATATGTGCCCTGCTTCCTCCGGGAAGACTGGGGTGTCAACAGGATTGATTGATTCACTGCAAGCTTCCCCCTGGTCACCTGAGTGTCCACCCCACAGAGTCCCAAGCCTCTCCTGACCCTGCGTACCTTGCTGAGCATCTGCTGTGCCCTGTGAACCAGACCTGGTGCTAACCACCAGGCAGGGAACCCTGGAGGTGACTTTGCTCACACTCAGCCCCTTGCCTGGGCTGAAAAGCCACCACTGCTGACCAGGAACAGAAGGACCCAGAAGGGGTGAATTGGACTTGTCCCTCGGGCAAAATCTGCAAGTGAGGTACAAGGATACCAGCCATAGGCGCAGGGCTGGTCATTTTGGCGCTTGCTGACCTGCCACCCAGGACAACAGGCCACCGGCCATCCCCGGCCCAGCCGGCAGCCTCGCACTGAGCGAGTGAAGAAATCGTCTAGTTGAGTTCACGGCGTTTCAGCCCAATGGTTAGCGAATGCTTGCCCTTCCGAAGTCATGTCCTGCAATTAGCAGCAAGGAATCGTGAGTTCTGAGGCTGCCTCCTCAGCCTTCATAAATATCCCTCTTCCCAAGGACACAGCTGGCACTGGCTGTGTCGTTTCCTAGCGGGAGGGAGCAGTGGTGACAAGTGAAATAAAATACGGCCGTGGCACAGATCTCAGAGGCATAAACCAGCCAAGTGCAACATCAGGGAATCAGCCTCGACGGCGTCCGCCTCATAGGAGGAAGGTCTCGCTGTCCCACACCCCCCGGGCCCGCCACATGGGCGCCTGGGCAGGGCACACCCTGTGCTAGGTGGTGGTGCCTCTCGCTACAGCTTCTCCCCCTTGAGGGAGGAGGGCTTCCTCCAGGGAAAGGCCACTCCCCCCTTGGAAAAGACCACCGTCCAGGCTGCGCCCCACTCCTCTCCAGTCCAGGTGTGTTCGAGGCCACGCCTGCCGTCTGGAGCTGTCTGCCCCCACTTTGCTGGCGCTGGGTAGCTCAGAGGTGCCTAAACTTCCAAATCCTGCCTGCTTCCCGCTTCCCAAGTGTGACATGCAAAGCCCCTGTGCACAGGTGAATCACGGTCACATTTCCAAGGGCCACTGGTACTGCTCCAAATCTCGAAGCCTGCATGGGCAGTGCCAGGGCGTGGCCTCTGCCCCCTCCCCGCCCACACACGGGCACGCACACAGCTCAAGTCTTTCTACTTTTATTTTTTTCTGTGGCGCCTCAGCACAGCGACCACCTCACCTCACTCGTGCAATGCCAAGTTCACTCCCACTTCCTCTGAGACCCAGGAGGACCCAGGGGAGCAGGGCCAAATTCTGAAAGAGCCGCAGCTCTGGAGGGAAGCGGCAGGCCAGAGAGCCGTCCAGGCAGGAGACCAGTGCCCAGCCCCCGTGGGGGAGACCTCCGGATGCCGGGACGTGCAGGGCAAACGTCTCTCCACCATCATCGCCAAGGAGGGGCGGACGAAGCGCTCCTTCCTTTTCCAATATTTCCCCGTGCCTCAGGCTTGGCTGGACGGGTCATTTTTCTTGTATATTTTTTCTTGATTCCCCTCCTTCATGGCTGCGTATCTGGCTAATGTGAAGAGATAGTCGCTGAGTCTGTAGGGGCAGAGAGAAGCCAAGGGAATGATTTGAAAAGAGAGATCAATGCTAACTGGGTCTTTCTCGTATTAGCCTTCACGAAGGAAATATAAATCACTTGCCCCAGGAGCAGCGGGCGGGACAGCGGGCGCTCAGCCAACTTGGGCTTGATGGATGGCACTCGGGGCCAGCTTCCACGAGAGCCAAGCACCCAACTCCGGCGCCAGGGCTGTGGGGCTGGGGCGGGGCCCGCAGGAGGCTGCCACCCCCACCTGACTTCACAGGGCAGGCGGCTTTGGGCACGGGGCTGAGTGTGCACTTTCTGCCCGGGGCTGGGGCTGGCACCCTGCACGGTCCCTGTCACTGTCTGGGGTCTCCGGCAGCTACTCCTAAGACGACCTGCACTCACTGGGGACAGGGACAGGGACAGGGACAGGGCCCCACTGCTCCCAGCTGCATCCCCGCGCCTGGCACACAGCAGCCCTTGGTGATGAAGCGAACAAATGTGAGTGGCACGCCCAGGTCCTGCTCCGTAACGAGCCCGGTGGTCAGGGAGAGACTGAGTTCCATCCCAGTACCTGTTTAAGAACTTGGCAACATTTGCATCTGTCTCGCCCATCTGGACAAGCGGCACCACGCTGGAAAGGGAGGAAACACACATCACACCACAGAACATGCTACACCAAGCCTGCACCAGCCCACCCGGCGTCACAGCTGGGGGTCGTCAAAGGGGGTCCAAGTGGAGGCACCCCCTCTCCATGGGCTCTCACGTAGGGCCCGGAGGGGGGCGCTAGGGCAGCAGGGAGGTGATGGGGCCGAACCACACCCGGTGCCACTGGGCCTGGGGCTGGCTGCTCGTGGGGCGGGAGGTCAGCCTCAGGCTCTCAAGAAGGTGGATCTGACCCCCAATGCCCAGGGAGCTGCCATTCTTAGCCCCTTTTCAGTGAAGCCTTAGAGCAACTTCACAGGGGAGAAAGAGGACCAAGCAGGCCAAGCTCCCGGTCAGACGTGCGCACGACTCCGAGGCCCACTGTGTCCTGGACCGCGGACGGCAGACGAGTCCCCGCGACGCGGCAGCCCTGCCCAGGCCCTCCGCGTGCGTCAGCTCGCCGTATAACTCCCCAAACCCAGGCCCCGGGTTTGTCTTCCCTGCCCAAATGCACACAGCTGGCGAGCAGCCCAGGCTGGGTGTGAGGCCTGCCCTGCAAAGCCCGGGCACCCTCCCAAGCTCCAGGCTGCTCTTGGCACACTGCAGGGGCAATGGCTTTTCCAGCCCGTCTTGCCGGTGTGTCCGACAGCCTGTCGCAGCTGCCTGTGTGGCGCACGGCTGTTCCTGGCCTCCGTGTCGCTGTCTGGGCGATCACGAGCACTGCCGATGCAGTGACAGGCCGAGGGTCCTTCTCACCACCCCGAGAGCCACCTGGGTTCACAAGCCTGTCATGAGGATGGGCTCTTAGGATGCGGGGTGAGGAGGAGAGCTCGGTCCTGGGCGAGACGGACCTGGGCTTAAACCCAGATGATGCCATGGACCATTGGGGGACCCTAGCTACTCTTTGAACCCGTTTCCTTGATTCTTGAAAAATGGGGGCTGCCACGACCTGTCCCCAGGGTTATCATGAGGCGTCAGGGGCACAGCCCCATCTGCTTTATCCCCCTTTGTCTGGAAAGCGGGGAACAGGACGTGCCACGTGTGGCGTCCACGGAGACCGCAGTTACTCAGCCTGGAGAAGGCTGCCAGCAGCTG